AGATTTTAAGTGGTTTAAACACCACTTCCCTAAGGAGTCCCTCCTTGGTACCGTGGGGCTGGTTAGAGTCCCCCCCCCCGGCAGGAGCATACACCTGCACACACTTGCACTATAAAGTACAGAGATACACTGTACATTTTTGTGGCATTTATCATGGTTGTGATTAAAATTACTATAATGAAATGATTAGATAATACTGTCATTAAATAATTATTGGCATAATTATTTGTTTAATGTTGCTAAACTATAAACCCCAGGAAGACAGAGACCATGTTTGCCTTATTCATCTCTGTATTCTAAGAACTGGGTACAGACTGGCAAATAGTGGGCACTTGGAACTTTGGTTCAATGGATATCATGTATCTCATCTTCAGTATGACTCTGTAAAGTAAGTGTTAATCATCCTTTTTTTTATTTGCAGTACCGGGGATCGAACTCAGGACCTTGCACTTGCCAGACAGTCATCCTCATTTTTTAATGTGAATCCTGAGGAAACTTACCCAAAATAAAGACAGGCACTTAAACTTGACAGGTAATACTTCAGCTCTGCTCCACCTGCCTGGCCCTTGGCCTTGGTCAATGGTTTCCCATCTTCTCCTTTTCCTGGATCCATTTCCACTATGCTCCCCATGCACAATCTCAAGCTCCACCTCCTCTCTGTCAAATGTTCTTAGAACACATTATCCGTACTCAGGCACCAAAGGCTGGCCATTTAAATTTCCTATGAGGGGACTATACATTATAGAGGTTCTAAGATTTACGCTTACAGGCCTAGTCCTATTGGCAGAATTTTGGGCATGGGCTCACTAAGAAAGGAGAAATCACATTGTGGGGATTGTTGGCCAAAGGCAGACTTGGCATTTTCTGGCTGCCAGTTTCAACGGAAGTCCCATCAGGGACCCCCTGTCTCTCTTCCCAGGTGAGCAGGTGACCTGGAACACAGTAAGAAGAACACAGGCCCAGGTCAGGAGGCCTTTGTCCTGCCAGTGGCATTGCCCCAATGTGCTGTGTGGCTTGAGAGAGTCCCTTATACTTTCTGAGCCTTGGTTCCCCTTTCTCCCAGATGAGAGTGTTGGGTGGTATTTCAGATTCCTTCCAGATCCATATGTGTGGCTCTGACAGTGTCAGCTGTCCAGTCCTTTAGAAGTAATCACTCACATTTGCACAGCCTTACGGAGTTTGGGCTCTGTTCTAGGAGCTCCACATGTATGGACTCATTTGATGGTGATGGCCACACTGAGGCATTGTTCCTGCTTTACAACTGAAGAAACTGAGGCCCAGAGGAGTTAATTTACTTTTTCACTATTTCAGTGCAGCACAAACTACAGTTCCCAAATGGAGGAATGTAACATAGCAGCCATTTACTCTGTGGCCAGGGGTTTGGGAAGGACTCAGCTAGGCAGTTCTCACTGGGTGTCTCTCTTGCAGCTGCTAGCAGCTATCAGCAGGGGCTATGTCCAGATGTGGCTGGGGTGGACACCCAGGATGGCACTCACTCATGCACCCAGCAGCTGAAGTGAGGGCCTCCTTGTGGCCTCTCCCACACAGAGGCTGGCTTGTCCTTTTTTTTTTTTTTTTGTACTGGGGATCGAACTCGGGACCTTGCGTTTTCGAGGCAGACTGCAGAACCACTGAGCTAAATCCCCGGGCCTGCAGGACATTTCTGACCCAGCTTCAGATGTTATGTGTGTCACATCCTCTGCATTCTAGCAGTTAGAAGTCAGTCATTAAGCCTAACCCAGATTTAAGGGGGGAGACACAGATCCCACCTCTCAATAGAAGGACAAAGAAGGTACATCATGTTTTAAGACCACTATAGCTACAAGGGGCAAAGCTAGAATTTGAACCTCCTCAGACTGGCTCAGGGTCTGCATATTTAACCACCACACACAGCTTGCTCTCAACTCTGAGGCCTGCTTCCTGGGACTCGCTGCTGGTCTCTCCCACATTCCTCTTGGGACCCTGAGATTCCTTCCCTGCTTCCAGGCCAGTCTTCATCTCTCTGTTGCCCTTGCCCCTCTTCCCATGGGCCACTCTCCTTCTTCCCTCATCTTAAGAAGCCACACAGAGCGGTGGAGAGGGCAGAGAGCTGGAAGTAGGCTACCCCAGGCTTCAATCCCATTCCTCACTCCTTGTGACCTGGAGTGACTCAATCCCCCTCTGGAAGACTCGGCTCTTCTATAAGTGGGGAGAGAGGTGCTAAGGACATTTTCTTTACAAGCTGGGATGAGTTTATTCATCTAACCAACAACTAGTTACTGAGTGCCAAACTTTTGCCAGGGACTCTTCTAGGCTCAAGGGATGAGGAGAAGACAGTAAGCAAATAAAGAAGAAAAAATGTACACACACACACACACACACACACACACACACACACGAGATATAAGATGTGTCAGATGGTCATAAGGGCTATATAGAAAACTAAAGCAGGATATGGAGGGTTTGGTGCTTCTGGGAGGGGTTTTTTGTGACTCTACAAAGGGCAGAAGGGCAGTGAGGAAAGACTTTACTGGGAAAGTGAAATTTGAGCTTAGATCCAGGAGAGTGAGCTCTGTGGCATTCTGGAAGGCAAAGTGTCTCAGGCAAAAGGAGCAGCAAGTCCAGTGGGTCTCGAGCTGAATGAACCAAAGGGATGTGGAAGGAGAAGCTGCAGAGCCAAGGATGTAAGGCTCTTGTAGAACTTGCATCTTGATTCAATGAGATGGGAGCCATGGAAAGGTTCTGAGCAGAGAAGTGGTCAGTTTCTAGATACTTTTTGGTCATAGAATTGCTCACAGATTGAATGGGGTGTGTAAGAGAAAGATAAAAATCAAGGATAACTCCAAGATTTGTGGTCTAAATAACTGGGAAAAAATGGAGCTGCCATTTACCAAGATGGGAACGGCTGTGTGGAGAACACTCTTAACCATCGTGCCTTGCTGCTCTCAAGACCCAGGTCTGGCTCCTGGGAAGGGAAGAGGTCACAGGAGCACCTCCCTTGTGTTTTCCATATGTGGTAGCAGAACTGTAAGAGTGATCTAGCGATTCCTACCCTTGCCTAATCCCCTCCCATTGGAGAACATGTGGAAAGATATCACTACTGTGACTAGAGTGCATGTCAGAGGATATTATACAGGTAGAGCCAACCTAAGCACACAGCCTTTACAAGCAAAGCATGTTCTCAGGTTAGTAAGCAGAGGGGAGTTAGAGTCAAAGGATGAGCAGGGTTCCACATCCTGATAGTGGGATTAAGATGGATGGGGCCATGTGAAAGGGCCGGAGAACCACTTCTAGGAGCTGAAATGGTCTCCTGGCTGACATCCAGCAAGGGAACAGGACCTCAGTCCTACAACCCTAAGGAACTGAATCCTGCCAACAACCTGAATGATCTTGGAAGCAGATTCCTCTCCCATGCCTGCACAGAAGAGCCCATTCTGGCCAGTTCCCTGTGAGGCCCTAAGCAGAGAATGCAGCTTAGGTTGCCCAGACTTCTGACTTACAGAATTGTCCACTAAAAAATGGTTGTTGTTTTTAAGCTGCTTAGTTGATTATGTAGCAAAAGAAAATGAATGTCCGTGTTATCCTAATCCTCACAACCGTTCAAAATGAAGGGTTCTTGTCCTCCTGGTCTGGATGAGGAAATAGATCAGTGAATCAAAGGGGTTTTGCCCTACAACACTTGAGAACATAGTGCCATTGTTGGGATTGAAACCCTGGTCTGTCTCAGCAGGCTGCTTCATAAAAAGAGGTGGGAGCTGCTGGGAAGCTGGAGCCCTGCGAGTCCCGGTTGAGGGGGTAGGGAGCCGCTAGTCCTGGGTTAGGCCAGGAAGTGTGGTGTGGGTTTCCCATCCTGCTGTCTATCCTGGGGCTCAGAGTGTCTGCACCCATGGATGTGCATCTGAGGACTGTGGTTGCCGAGGGCGTATGCGTGGGAGAGTGTGTGTGAGTGTGAGCCTGCTGAGTGTGTCTCAGCGTCCTGCCCGTGGAGGGTGTCTGTGCATCAGGATATATCTGTCACAGGGGTGACTGAGTCTGTATGGCTATGTCCTGGTGTGAGTGTGTGCACCCACTGACGTGTCTGAGGGTGACTGAGTGACTCTCGGTGTGAGGTGGTCAAAGGGGGAGGGGCAGGGAGTGTCTGAGGGTCAAGGCTGAGTGCTCCCCCAAGCATGTCTGTATGTATGAAATCCAGGGTGCGTGGGAGTCAGTCTGAGCTTATGGGGGTTCTGAGGGGCCCAAGGGTCTCCCCTGCATGGGAGGCCGAGTGCCAAAGGTGTCTTGCCGGTGTCTGCAGGTTCCTGTGTACCAGTCCGAGCGTGTCCATTGGCGCATCTGCCTGTGCGTGTCGGTTGTTTTGTTTGTCCAAGTGTCTGTGGATGAATCGGGTGTGTCTGTCCAAGTATCGTCGCGTTGGTCTGAAGGCGTCGGCAGTGCCTCTTGCGGAGTGAGTGTATCCCTGTGGGTGTGCGTGTGACTCCGAGGGTCTCTGCGAAGGAGCCCGAGGGCCAGAGATGCCGTCCGGGTCTTTCTGAGCGGTCTCTTCAGAGTGCGTCTGTTTCTCTGGGCGAGGCCTGTCTGGGTCGGTGACTGGACGTCTGCATCTGGGGAGTCTGAGGACTGGAGTGGGGGTTGGGGCGGGCAGGGGCTGGGGTCCGGGAATGCGCGCAAACTGCTCGGCCGCGCGCCTCACTGCCGGCGCTCACACCTGCCGGGGCTGGGGGCGGCGAGAGGGGGCGCAGCCCGCACCCTCCCGGCTCCCACGTCCCGCTGG